AATGGCCGATAGCTTAATGCTTGATGATCTAAGTACCGGGCAGAGCGGATAAAGAGGTAAAAAAAAACCTGCCCGTATTTTTTTTTTTTTCCCACTTAACTTTGAGGACAAGCAAAGCACAATAAAAGATCTCTATATCTCAAGCTTTTACGCTTGAAGATATTTCCTTGACAAAGACTTCACTACACTTTGATTCCGTTAAGAAAGGAAGAAATAATAGACCCAAATTCCATACACGTATGGGCTTCTTCCTAATTATGAGATTAAATGATAATCTTTAATAAATAACAGGTGGGCTTATCACCTCTAAAAGAAAAACAAAAGAGCATATAATTTAAAGAGAAATAATAGAAGACATGCCTGCTTTTAAAATTTATATTTGTAAATAACAGTTTACTGATGTACAAAAATTAATAGGCTTTTTTATGTTTTCAATATTACTCTTTTTGTTTCTTTCTTTTTCTTTTTTTTTTACTTTATCTCTATATCTCTTTTTCTCTATTCTCTTTATCTATCGTTCGTGGGTATGCTCTTCTCTCTCTCATCGACGGCTATTCTTTTTACCGTGTAAATTCAAGATTTACCATCATAACACAAATTGTATTTCTTTGTAAATCCAGGATTTACAATATTAGATTTATAATGTAAATTTAGAATTTACCATCAGCACACAATTTATGTTCATTTGTAAATCTTAGATTTACACCGTAAATTCAGTACTTTATTAATATAAGATAAACATTTTTTAGTTTTGCTCCACCAGAACACAAATTGTGTTATTCATAAATCATGAGTTTACAATGTAAGTCTAAGATCTACAATCAAAAGATATTTTATGTTTTTTCGTAAATCCTAGATTTATACTGTAAATTCAGAAATTTATTAATATAAGATATACATATTTTTAATTATATTCAGAACACATATTGTGTTTATTTATAAATTCAATATTTACAATGTGGAGAGAGGAGATTGAGAGAGCATGGAGTGTGGAGAGAGAGTCAAAGTAAATTTTAGAATTTTCTTTTCTTTTTTTTTTATTAGGAATATTTTTGAGATGTTAATTTAGGGTAAATTCATATTTACATCTATTAGGCCTAATTACTAACTAATTATAAACCGTAATCTATTTATTTTTATTGCCTTTCTAGTCACCTATTTCCCTCAACCACCCTAATTTAAACGAGTTCATGCACGGTAGTAGATTTTCAAACCTTAAAGATGAAATTATCGTTATATATATATATATATGTATATATATGTATCTGTTAAATATTAATGGTCATTTAGAATGTTACGTAGCTAATTAGACGAATATCGGCGCTCGTGCCATGCAACAGTGCATGGCACATGCAAAACCCTTTCCATATATATGATTATGTGCCATACCTTGTTTAAAAAAGGGAAAAGCCCCAACCTTAATTTATCCGAGAAAAGAATTAAACTAAAAAAATATACAAATAAAGAAAAATAAAGAAAAACCTTAACACTGTTCAACACATTGCATGGATCCGAAAACTCCTCCAAACTGGGTGAGATTATCAATACAAACAGTGACGACACCTTTGGGTTTTTGTTTGATACATCAGATTTGACTATTAGCAAACAGATTGAAATGCCCATCAGCTGATTTGATTGATTTTCCCCAGGCCCCACTTAAAGATGATTAAGCAAAACAATAAAAAGTAGTTTTCTACTCTAAAATGTGAAAAAATAACTACTAATAAGTTTTTATTTTTAATTGTCAAATAAGTATTACAAAATATTTATTCAGCGTATTTTTTTTATTTTTAATATGATTTTAATCATACTTAATAATTAAAAATATACATCACAAGTAGAAGGTCTTATCATACTGAACAAATGAGGTGAGAAATGATTTTTTGTCTTGATAGAAACTCGCGCGATCAGAATCATAAAAAAAACACACACATCGTTTTAAATTAGTTCTTAATGGTAAAAATTTTCAAGTTGAAGGGATTAATTGCCACGAGAGAAAAAAAAAATAGGAATTAAATTGTTAAATTTAAAAAGTTGAGAAGGTCTCGGTAAAAAAATTCAATAAAAATCCCGAGGCACATTTGATAGTTACCCAATATGTGCATGTTCTTGAGCAAACATTATAGGCCAAAAAAAAAAAAAAAAAAGAAGAAAAAAGCATATTTTCTTTTCCTCCAGAAATTGATGGGCGACCTACTAGTACTACCACAACACACAAATTATAAGTAGTAGTAGTAGAGATGGGCAACCACGCATGTTTGGCTTTTAGTAGGAATTAGGGTTAAAGTACAGTTCTCTTGAACGAATGATGAGCCTTCTCAAATAGACAAAAAGATTAGATTCATTAGATTAGGTTGGGGTAAGGGGTGGTCGAAGTTTGGAGTCGTTATTCACAGGCTTTTGAGCGTGGCCCAATACCAGATAAGATCATGAGGTCTTAATTTGGCCCACATACGATTTGGCTGTTATTATCTGTCGGCGACAAAATTGATCACCCAACAGTTTATCTCTCGTATGGAGGAATTTAATCGCTACACATGACCTGTGCCCTGTGTTGTGTTCATCTCCTTAATATATTTTTTCGCGGGTGAACAGGAATTTAGAATGATCAACTATTATAATAAATAAAATTTAGAGAAAATTTCAGATTCATCTGACTTATTAAAAATGTTTTCTTTTTTTTAAAAAAAAAAAAATTCTACCTTTTAACTAGTTCTAGTTTAAAATATACAAAAATATGAATTAATTTTAAGGAATAGAAATAAAATGAGCTCCATTTTAAGAGGTATTTTTAAAAATTTTCCTACTATTTATTATATCGGAGTTAAGAGCTTAATAAGGGATGGATCATTTAATTTGTGTCAACGTAATTGTGTACTAGTTATTCTTAATATTAGGGATGATAATGGGGCGGAGTGAGGACGGGTTTGCTTCCCCCACCCCCATATCTTACTTCCTTTTCGCGCCCCAATTTAAGATGGGGTCGGAGTCGGAGATTCCTTACGGGGAAACAATTCTCATACCCTACCCATTTACCTATTAACAAATAAGAGTTTAAAAAAATTGTAACATTATTATACTCAAAGCAAATTTCATTAAACTTATTATAAAATGTAGTAATATAGCCACTAATATCTCATAAAAATAAACCTAAAACAAAATTCAAACTCTACCCACTCATAAATTAAATTTGTAAAACAAATCAAAACATTAAAATATTTTAAAAACAATTTATTCTTTTTCTTTGCGCATTCTCTCCATAGCTTCATGTAAACCTTATTACTTATCCTTTTTAAGCATCATAATTTTTCCGATCCTTTATAATTACTAATAATTGTATATCTTATTTAGGATTCTTTTATAAAATATAGCGCGCGCATATATAAAAAATGTATCAAATAAAAGTGTATATAATCGGGCTGGTCGGGGACGGGAGAGCTTCCCCCACCCCCGCACCGCTCCCGACTCGGGGGTTAACTTTAACCCCCATTCCCGCCCCCATCCCTATATAGCATCCCCGTAAAGGCGGATACCCATACTCACTAACAAGTTATTCTCTCTTATCATTCACTTAAAAAAATGTATTTATTTCAACGGATGAGATCTTTTTAAATCTTATTCAATATATTATATTTGAAATAGAGGTATTTGTTTATGTTTGCTTTTAATGCATGTCTGCTTTTCAATAAATCAATGATTTTGTAAAGTATATATGATCAATTTAAATTTACTCTTTTTAAAAAAAATAATAATAATTTTTCATAGAATATTCTTTATTATAAAAAAAAAAATCTTAACATAGTAGGTAAACCGTTAAATTATTTTAGTAAAATAAATTATTGTACCTTTGTAAAAGAAATGTCCCAGACGAACATTCATTGTAAGTTTTTATTAAAAAAATGTCGCTTCTTTTCTCAAAATTTTCTTTTATATTTGGTTCCCCCGTCACCTACTAGGTGATCTTGAGGGTTAATCATCTCATGACTTGTTTTTTTTTTTTTTTTTTTTTTTTTTCCCAACTAATCATAGCACCACACGAGATGGGAGACCAATTAGAGGACTCTTCTAAATTTCTAGAACGCGAAAAAAAAAAACAAAAAAAAAAAAGCACAACAGAAAGTGATGCCATGGGTCACAGACACAGTTACAGGCTTTATTTTGGGCCAGATTTACAAACAAATGGGGTGCCAAAATAACCGAAAGGTTCGAAACCATTGGCACTTTTCTAGCGACACAAACGGTGCATGTGCCACTAAAAATTGAAAGGCTTATACCAATTATTAATAGGTGCCAGCTTAACATAACATACAACAAAATTAACGTATTTTCATGGGACATCCCATGTTCTAATCAATTAAGAATCGACTCTTATGTCCTCTTCTTTATGCTTTCATTATATCCTCCAATCATATCACGCTACGGTGTCATATTAATTAAAAAATCATTACGTCACGACACCCTTTAATAATATCACATTACGGTGTCATGTTAATTAAAATTTCATATCACATTAATTAAAAAATTATTCCATCACGACACCCTTTAATAATGTCACGCTACGGTATCATGTTAATTAAAATTTCATATCACATTAATTAAAAAATCATTACGTCACAGCAAGATGCAGGGAGTTTTCCTGCATGTGGCTCGTGCATGATAACTTTGTCAGAGCAGAAAAGGAAAATGATTTTTAGAAGAATATATATCAGAATTCAGAAATGCACCATATGTATGGATTCATGTTTTTGACCAAGCCTTAAGATTTCTCAATCCACAAATTCTATCGATAAGAATGATGAGGAAAATACATGTTATATTATTCTTCCTAGTGATATATTATCTTTCCCGTCACATCTTTAACTGTTTCTTGACAATTAATGAAATGAAAACTTGGTAATTAGTTTAGATTTTCACTTTCTTCATCCCATTTCTAGACCTATCAATTACGGCATGGATAATAATCCCACTGTGCTCGAAGTAGAATAAATATAGAACTAAAATTGTATAGCAGATTACAAAAGAGTCTATAGCATATGTACAATATTTACACAACACTGATTGAGGACCAAAACAATCCAAAAAAAAAAAAGAAGGAAAAACTGCGAAGAAGAGCAATGTTGCCTAATCAACCCAAATACAGGAACTTAAACGGAAGATTTATACAATCCAGTCAGAGCCCAAAAAAGGTGGAAAAGGGAAGGGGATAAATGAAGAGAATACGCTGCAATTAATTATAAGTTTAAAATCAAAGAATATATGGAAAAAAAAAAAAAAAAAAAACCCCTAGAATCTAAAGGAATATGAACTGATATGGAGGACAATATCCAAAAGAGAAGCAACATATAAACAAAACTTGGTATCTTTTCATGACTTCCCTTTCCCTGTTGTCCCCTCTCGCTGATTTCGGAAATGACTCAGAAGCTGTTGTGCCTGCACAAACACAATATGTTACATCACTCCCAAAAGACCTCATAATGGATGGCACCAAGAGCATTTGGCATCTAGAAGGAAAAGTGTTATAGCTGAATACCTTTTCTTTTGCTCTCGGCGTGCCAGATTGAGATAAGGCTACAAGGGGCGGGACAGCTCCTTCCTGGAGAACCAGGGTGCAGAACTTTGTGTTGTGGAGGCATAGTTGTAATAGTACGGAGGCAGCATTTTCCTTTCCCCTTTGGGACCCCGTTTCGACGATCTCAACTAGTAGTGGAATGCCCCCTTCACGAACAATTGCTAAACGCCCCTCTCCAACTGTGGACAGGTTGGATAGAAGGGCAACAGCCTTGTCAACCATTCCACTACCTGGGTCCAACAACTCAACAAGATGCTTCACAGCCCCTGCTTGAACTATCCGAGCCTTGTTTTCGTGGAAAATAGATAGGTTGAACAGAGCAGTGGCAGCATCTTTCTTCCCTCTCAAAGTCCCTGATCCTAGAAGACCCACTAAAGCTTTCACTGCACCAGAACGACCAATTTTCACCTTGTATTCCTCCAACACAGAAAGGCTGAATAACGCGGCCGCAGAATTCTCTTTCGCTCCATCGTTGCCTGTTCTCAGTGCATGGATTAGTGGTTCTATTGCTCCTGCTTCAGCAATCATGGCCTTATTGCTTTCGTTAATTGACAAGTTCAAAAGAGCTGTGACGGCATGCTCTTGTGTTAGCTTTGTCTCCGCATACAGCAGCGAAAGTAATGGCGTGATGGCACCACAACGGCCTATAACATTCCGATTCTCCACATTATGCTTTGCTAGAAGCCGCAACTCTTCTGCAGCCGCAGTTTGGACTTCAATGGATAGGCTCCGGAGATCTTCAACCAGTTTCTCAACCTGGGAAGCCGTTGTAGACTCTCCAGCTACTGATTCTGAAACCGAGACTGAATCTCTATGCAAGTTATTAAGGTTTCCACTTCCTGCCATGCCCGCTTTTGTTCTGGAAACATTGAGTTGCCTGGATGACAGCCACGGAGAATTTTTTAACTCTTTATTCGGAGGAGAAGCAGCAACACATGCGGATGTAATTTCTCTGGACGACTCATTTGTAGTTTCGGGCTTACTAGATATCTCCAATACCTCAATCAATGGTGGTGGAGGCACATAATCAATACTGGAAACAGCACTTGAGGTTGATTCGCTCCTGCTGTGAGAATATGAGTGATCGGGGGATAGGTGCCCCTTCCCCCTGCTATTGCCATTGGATTCCTCTCCACATACTGTAGGAAATATATCTTCCTTTTGCTTCTCAAACCCATTTCCAACACCTGCAGATGATAGTGATGTGGAATTGCTACTGTATAAAGAGCACCGGAAACTATCTGTACCAACTGAAACTTGAGGAGCCACATGCTCCATTTGTGATGAGACCAAGACAATTTTAGAGTGGTCCAAGTTAACAGGAAGTTTTACTTTGTTTTCCTCACACCAGGTCGCTATCATAGCTTTGACTGTATAGTTAGGAATTAGATTTGTATGAGCCAACTTTTGACGAGTCTTTGGGCAAATGGTAAGCCCATTATCAAGCCATTTCTGGATCGAAGATCTATTGTAGGTTTGACCTGACGCCACAATCACGGGATCGCACATGAGTTCCGATGACAAGGGGCAGCAGAAGTATGGAGGGACTGGAACAGCTTCAAGTCGCTGAAGTTTAACCATGCAATTGCGGATACCAGAGACCAGATCCACAATCTGGTCAATTTGACTTAGTTCTCCTTTCATTTTACTACCTTCAGCAATCATTTGCTCCTTTCCTAGAGCAATGCTTTCTTTCAACAGTTCTTGGCTCGATGTCAGGCCAAGCAATTCAATAACTTTCGTAAGGCTTTTGGTGCAAAGAAAGACGTTGTTTCTTTGACTTCTCATACCCTCTTCTATGTGTTTTGCTATTCTTTCCTGCTTCAAGGATTGAATTTCCTGCATACCTTGCTGAAGATCGCTTACCACGGATTAGTCTTGCATGAAAATCATAAGCAAGGAAGTTTAACAAAAATAAAATAAAAATCAACATTAAAGTTTGTCCACAACTTTTTTTTCTTCTTCTTTGAGGAGAGAAAACAATATAATGGTTCAAATTTTGTACACACCTGAATAGCAGTCAAACTAGAATTAGGTGGAGACGATTGTAGCAACCTACGTAAAGAGCAGCAGATCATGAATAAAGAACTTTGGATTTTCATCAACAGAGGCTCACTTCGCAAAACCTGGTACATACAAACCAGATAACTAAAATTGGAATAATCATGTGTTCTCAAACCCTACTTAACTCCCAACCACAAGTACAAAAACACAATAAATCTTCACTTCCATTTCTTTTTACATATGCTTTCCTTCATTTGCAGCATATCTATATTGTAAGAAGTAAGTTTAAAAAACATACATAATGCTAAAACTGTTTTTTTTTTTTTTTTTACAAGTTACTTACACTGCAAATCTTGCTCATCTTGGGAGACCAATCTTCCATGAATTCCCTGGCCATATTTACAGCCATATCCAACTCTTCACATTCTTTACATAGGATCTCATCAGATAACATTTCGTAATCAAGTACTTCATCAAGCACCGGCTTCAAAAGCTTCAGCACAGCAGCTACAGTTCTGTAATCCTTCTGTATAGTTGTGGGTTTCACATTTTGGCACGAAACTAGATGAATGAATCGAGAAATGCTGTTTGTAAGACATTTCACAGGTGTGTCCATCGTACCTGTTTGAGAAAATGAATCAGCAAATGAAGAAAATCAAGAACAAAGAAATCATTTTGAATGAAAATCAATATTAGAATACTTTATCGGTATTGCGTGGCAGTTAGACATGCATGCAGAAGTTACTACGCTCATTAAAAGAATGCGAGCAGCTTTCCCGTTCTAGAGAACAACATTTTAGTTCTTACGAAACTAGACTCCACGAGTCCTCCAGAATATGGACCACATGAGTTATTGTACCTTCTCTTCATGATGAAGAGAAGGTGAGGAAAAACCTTACAAGTTAGCGAGTTTCCACCACCGACTACATAATTCAGCAAGTTGAGTCAATAGTAGGTGGTTAATGATTGAAACACACAACTTGGTAGAATTAGCAGTCTAAATGGAAAGAAGGTTAGGATGATGAAGAAAATCTGGCATCAAAAGCAATTTTCGGATGGTCGATTAGAAAAGCAATAGTACCAACAGAATCAAGCCAAAACTCATCTCTTCCTTCCCAAAGAGACCTACAGTAGTCTATGCAAAAGAAGCACATTGTTATCACCAAAAGGCTCCCCACTTAACAAACACGTCGAGACAGGAAAATGATGAACTTGTATGGAAAAACCCTGAAGTTGATGCCACTAAATGCTTATCTTATACTAAAAATCCGAACCCATGTCTAGTGGCATCCTAATTCATAATCATAGAATACTAAACAAATTTCACGCTCAACTGATTGATGGATAATTTGAAGGTTCTGAACAAGAAAGTTATATAATACTGGTAAACATTGAAGACTCTTTTACGTTAATAGCTTAACAATTTGTTCAACGAACTCAGAAGCAATCCTCTGTTACATACTGATGAACTTCAATTAACACATATTGAGAAAGCTTACATAAAAAGATCAGATGATCATTTGAAAATCAATTAATTTTTAGAAATCGGGTACAATTCTAAAACAGTTTGCCCGTATCCAATCTAACCTTATTCTAATCTAATGTAGAGAAAATCGTTGAAGCTACCAAACACTATCAAATCTACTAAAATCAAGAGATTACCTAATTTAAAAAATGATACAAATAAATCAAACTACTAATAAGGGTAACTATATATAAAATATTAACTTTCCCAAATAAAATAAAGATTCTTCACCAACAGTCTGTTTTCTCCACCCTTTCTTTTCCAGGGAAGGAAAAGGCAAGAAATGTTCCAGTCAAAATCTTTCTAAAAATTCTAAGATAAAAGCTCTTTCAAGTTTCCCTTTCTCACCAATAATAAAAAAAAAAAATAATAATAAACTAATAAATAAATAAACCCCAAGAAAGGTGAGTCCAATTTCAATTCTTGATCATGTCTTCTCTTTCCCCTTAAATTTTAGAATATTGAAAACAAAAATGAGATTCAGAAACTAATACTTTCATCCTCTAACTCCTTTTAGCAAACAAAAAGAGGCATATATACAAATTTTTTTAACTCTCAATCTCCGTCAATAACAATACTACAACTAGTACTTGATAGAAAAATTGATCAAAACATATTCCAAAACTATCAAAACCCAATTTTTGGATAACACCCAGAAAAATTCACACAAAAAATGAAAAAGATATGAACAAACAGAAGCAACCTTAACCAACCCATTTCATGTCTCGCCAGCTTATAGCGAAAAAATCCAAATTATTCACGACATTATCAACATTGCACAAACAAAACTAATAACTTTGAATCAAACCTTACCGCTATTTATGTTGAGTGTGTTGAACCGGTGGTTAAACTATGTACAGATCCCGAGGAACCCAAAAGCTAAAAACTTTCATATGAAAACTGAAATGAGTTTGATTACAAAGATCAAAATATTGAACAATCACTCTTTACCCATGCATTTGCTTTCATTGCAAAGCTGCATGAGAAAGAGGGAAGGAGGTGAAGGGAGAAGAGAAGATGTGAGAGAGAGCTGAGATAAAAATGGGAGAATATAATATTATAAAAAGAAAAAGGGTAAAATGGTGGGGCCCAATGCAGTTGCAGATTTGTTGGGTTTTGTAGGGGAAAGAAAACTGATTAAGAAATCCTAATACATTATGCTAAGAGATAAGAGAGAAATCAATATGAGATTTATGGGACGATTATGATGATTAGATGAGATTAGATGATATAGAAAAATGTAATAGAAAGTCAAGCCTTTTGTTATTTATTTAATATCAAGCCTTTATTGTTAGTGGATGATCCAGTCCATAAACAGATGGATTAGCCAAAAAAGAAAACAAGGTGAACATAAATCCAAGAAAATATCACATAAATTTTTTTTTTTTTTTTTTTTTTTTAAAGGGAGATCACATGACAATTAACATAAAAGAGGAGTTCCATAATTGTTCTTTGGGAAAAGCACCTTTGGTTTAACTAATTATTTTGTTTTCTCTAAATTAAAAAACTAATTTATTTGTTACCAATGATGCCCCTAACGTCTTCACAAATTCACTCTCTTTTATAACATTCACAAAGTCGCATTGTAGGCATACATTGCTGCATTGCATATCATTTTTCCTTTCTCCTCTTTTCATTTTATTTTTATTTATATTTTGTTTTTTTTTTTTTGCTCCTGTAGACCGGCTGCCGGCTTTTAATATCAACTTATGGTCCACTTAAAATCCATTATTTTTTTTTCTTAATTTATAAATTTTACTTTAATAGTAACTCTTCCTCTGCATAGTCTTGAAGATGTTTTCAATATCAAAATGCTCTCCCCAATAAAAATGTATTCTTGAAATTTAACCCCAAAAGAATAGAATGGAGCTAAACCGATCTTATAAAGGAGAAAGAGAAAAAAGTGTTCCGGGTTGAGCCACAACTCGTTGATGGTGCTTCTTAATTCGGGCCCAACTTTTCATGTTGTTTTTGACGTTGATAATCGTCCCTCTGTTAGAGAGTTTTTCATAATTGTTTGCGTTGGACAATAATTTTTTTCCCTCAAATAATACAATATATTAATATATTCATTAGATAAATATTAACGTCACTCTTATGTTATATTAATAGAGTTCACGTGTTAAGTAATGAATGCATAGAGTGATAAAAAAAATATTACTGCAGCCATTTCTCCATTCATTATGTTCAGTTTGGTGACATCCAAACTTTTATACTTTTTCTCATTAAATATATATATATATATATATATATTGGGAGTCCTTTTAATAATCCTTATAAATGTTTCATTTAGGATTAAAAAAATGAAACAATTAATAAAATAGGCCAGGAGGGGGGAAAAAAACGCAAAAAGAGTAGGTTTCATTCCACCAATATAAATAATGTCACGTCTCTATAGAGTATTCCAAATCATTAATAATTTGTAGTCTTTAGACTTTGTGACGTTATTTCCATTGACTTGAATTTCGTCCAAGAAGCTTATAAGACTCCTTGAAACAATCATAATAGTGATTTAGGCAGGGAGTTCTCTATTTTCTTTTGGAGGTCTAAGAAGAAGACTTCACCACTTTTTTATTTTTTTGTCTTGGAATTGTTTTCCGGCCCAACTGCGAATGTTTATAAAACACCAAGCTTGAGAATTTAAAAATTTGTTTAGAAAAGAAAAACTAGTAAATAGGAAAAGCTGATCACGTTGAAGGAAGATAAGACCCCATTATATCAACATTCAACACTAAAACTCCAACCATCCTGACCCCATCGCTAATAAAAGAATCCATAAACTTGTGCACGAGATTCCAAACTCCATTATGCAATTGGTACCTTATTTTTTATACAACCTAATTGCAACCTTAATCAACTCGTTAATTATTGCATGGAGTTAATTATGGATCATTATTGAATTTTGTTTCTTTTTTTAAGCAATGATTTTCATTCATAGAAACCATAGAAGTTTAAACAAAAATCACCCATTAGATCAAATCAAATATACTACACAAGAAAAAACGACAAAACATGCTGAAGTGGATATATATATATATATATATAATATATATAGAGAGAGAGAGAGAGAGGGTCCACACACGTTTCATTACTTTTGTTTTCTTTCGAGTTTGACCTCAAACAAATAGACAATTAATTTCTAAATTAGTGAAGGCTTCCAATATTCACTCGTGTTTCACTAAATCGCACTTCAAAGTCAGCTAAGTACTCCTAGACTTATTAAGGTCAGATTGACTCATTTTTCTTTTCTTACTAATGAAAACTTTTTATTTTCAACCACAAAAGACTCCAACTATGACTAACCACCTATTATATATGTGTGTCTACTGCTTTAATATTTTTTAACTAGCTAGTGGAACATTCCCTTCTAATCAATACTCAATTACTAACAAGTGAGTTGAGATTTTAAGTTAAAAAGTGAATTTATGTAAGATAAAATATTATAGTTAAAAAATTAAATTTAAATTTTTATGAGATAAAATATTATAATAAAACTTTGAGTTGTTTCATTGGAAACCAATGAAATCCACAATTATATACTATAACTGTTATGTTTCGGATATATGAATATATATATATATATATATATATATATATAGGGCATGTACTTGAAACTAGATTAGCTCCATGGGAGAAAGATTCCGGTTTCTTCATATGTCATAATATGCTAGCCAGGGAAAACTACACCAGGATGTACAACAACAATTTTGGGGTATAGTTTCTACTTTCTATGCAGCTTTAATTTAATACAGACGTAGAAATGGCCTTGTCTACATGCATGGTATGTAACATTATGTTAGTACATATTGTGTGGGAAAATGTGAAAGACACGTGGAAGAACAATAATATGACACGTAGTTTTAACTATTCCCTGCAAAACAACAACTCTCGACGTCTGGGGCCCTCTCTGATTCCGTTATAAAGAACCCAAGTGAAAAGTCCAACTTAGAGCGTCGATTTTTTCTGGCGTCGACAAATCGTACCGTCAACCTTAGGACATAGAAATTCATCGACTGTGGAACCAACAGCCAAGAAGGACAGTTGGGTTAAGCAACACTGACGACGTGGGGAATGCTCTTTGGAGAAAAGTCTGACGTGGCAAATTGCGTACAAAAGTTGGGGATGACTGCAAGGCAGGCATTTATTGCGAACCTTTAAACCGCCTCACAGAGGACAGAAAAGGGTTACAGGAACGCACAGAGCTGTAATAGAAGACTAAGAACCATGCAAAACTTTATTAGTCGTGCTTTGAAGGCAAGTTAAGTTTTAAATGTTGTCTTTAAAAAAAAAAAAAGTCTCTTGATTTAAATAAAAGGGTATTGCATCATTCGAATTTAGACCCATCGAGTGAATGGGGTCAGTGGTGTTGGTCATAATTCGTACCCACCGGCTGTCTTCCACTAGGTTCTCTATTAGGGATTTGACCCATTATTACCTTTTTTATTAGAGTTTCTCTAATAGTTTATTTTATTAATTTTTTATTATTAAATTAAATTAAAATCACATTAAATTTTTAAAAAATATAAAATATATAATTTTTAAATAAATTTAGGAATTAAAAATAAAGAACTACTTAATAATTTATTTTTTCTCATCTTATTAAAAAGCTCCTTTTTTTTTTCATAAAGCTTGGAGTTTGGACAGAGTGCCGACAAGAAATGTGAGTTTATTATATGCTTTTTCCAATAGCTTCTAATTCATGTTTATCTCATCCACTAAGGAAAACCAAACTTAATCCTCAATTTTCGTGCAACTTATGAGTCTATGACGTCTGGTGAATGGACTTCTCTAGTGTCATTTGTTCCAAAAGAGAGTTTTGAAGATCTCTTGTAATCTCTACTATTAATGCAAGTCATTATTCAATCTTTCTTCTGTAAATTTTTGTATTTTTTGTGTTTTTGTTATTGTAGCTTAAACCCAAGACAAATGTTCTGCAGCGCCTAGCAGCTAATAGTAATAGGCAAAGCATAGCATTTAATTAGCATACGTCATACGTCAAGAAAAATTTATCACGAAGTCAAAAAATTATGTAAAACTAATAAAATTATTGTTACATCCGAGGTGTTAGTTACATTTGATATTACGGCCTCGTTCGTTTCGCTGATTCGAGTGAATTTGAATTTTGTTACAGTAAAAAGTTCTTACAGACAGTCACATCTAACTTTTTTGTTACAGTTGAGTGAATTCGAATTTTGCTACAGTAAAAAGTTCTTACAGACAGTCACATCTAACTTTTTTGTTACAGTAAAAATCTCTCACATAAAATCACATCTCAACTTGAATTTTAAATTCAAATCAACGAGGCCACATTTTAATTTAGCAATGTATAGTGAAACTCGTTTTTTTTTTTTTTTTTCACGGGTACTATTTTTCTTAATAATAAAGCTACATATGATTTGGTTTGAAATTAATAGGGTACCTTCCCATTTTAAATTGGATCGCTCAAACAATTAATTATATATATACATATATAACGTTTTGTTATTGCATAGAAGTTTGATCCTATTTTCAATATTAATAAACATATACTTTACGTAAAAATTAATAGCACTCTCATTGATCCATACAAAAATTTCATCATTTATTGCAGTATTATTGCATCACAACTCGAAAGCATATAATGCCAAATCGTAATAATATTGTCGCTAACTTACAATAATACACCTAACAAAGCTTTTCTACTTTTTAAAAATTTTACCGTTTTACAGTCCCCAAAAATTCGCATTCTAGTAAAGCGTCGGTGGGGATCCTAAGAAGGCAAGGCCATATATTGCTGGACAATCTTCTGAGCTTTTGCATTATTGTACAAACTCTTCAGTCAATTTCAATCATATTTACCTACTAGAGTCTTTTTTTTTCTTTTGTTTTTTAATTTTTCCTTTTAACTTTCGGTTTTCGTACGTGAAAAGTTAGTTATGAATGAGAGAAGTTATTCAACATTTTCCTACAAGAATCTCAGAATATTCAAACATAACACGATCCAAAATTCTCATAAACCCAAGTTGAGGAGTAAATA